AAATTTTGCTTTGCAAAGTTTCTTATAATCATAAAATCTACAAGGAAGTAGTCTGGCATTGCAAGTCATGCATTTAAACGGAGCTGGGCCAGTTTCCCAATGCTGCCACAGGTTTCTGTGGCACCCACCCAAGCTCAGGGTGAACTGCTTAAATGCTTTTGGCTTGAAAAGGAATATTTCAGTGTGCAACCTATTAAAGAAAAGAGAAAGCAGACTCTAGTCTCTTCATCCTAGAGAGAAAAAGACTTTAAAAACCTAATACTCCTCCCTGGGATCAGGGGGCTCTGTTGGCTTCAGCCAAGAAGCCTTCTCCAGGCACTTCAAGAGAAAGGGGTGGTTTTCCCCTCTCCTCATTCAAAGCTGAGTTTGCCAGTCTCAGGGGGAGATCTGGAGAGTTCAGAAGATGCAGCAGGAGGAGAGAAAACAGCACTGTTTCTCAGGAACGTATCTGTCTTCAAGGAGACTCTCTAATGTTCTTTATCCCAGGAAAGGAGGAGGCTTGGAGCACAGGCAGGGATGTTTTCAGCTGGGCTGTGGGGTGGTTTTTGAGTTGCTGAGCCTGCCCAGAGCTCAGTCTGTGCTTCTGCAGCTTCAAAGGCATCACAAGAGGCAGGGAAAGGGCCAGCAATTAATGTGAGCTCAGCGAAAGACAAAGAGAATCTGGAGGTGTGGGTGCATTGCCGTGGGCTGGGATGGTGTCCCACAAGCAGCTGTGCCACCAAGGATCATCAGGAGGTAGAGGTTTGGGACAGTGGGGCAGTGAAATATGAGGATGAAAGGAGAGATGCAGGGAAGTCAGTGAAGCTCCAGATTTGAGAAGGGCCGTGGACAAAGGGATGAGGTTTTCCCTACACTGACAGCTGCCCACTCAGTGTTCTGGCTCCTCATAGTGTCCAGGGTATAAATTAGGAGCTGGTTCATTTCTGGAGGGACTTTCTTTTCAAGGCAGATCCTTTGTGGACCACTTAATCAAGATGGATTCATGAGGCCCATTTCAAGTCATCAGTCTTCCTGAATTATGCATTTCTTTTGATGATTGAGCCCACAAGCAGTGGAGAGGAATATAAATGTGTGACTTGCTGATGCCTCTCCCAGCAACCAAGGCAGCAAATGGGACAGTAAACCAACCTTTGGCTGAAAAGTGCTTTCGGTTTAAGAACAGCATAAAGAGCAGATGCATCAAGGAAAGCACAGGGAGGATAAACCCCTTCTCAGCACTGTTTTCTATTTGAAGCCACAAAGGTCTGTAATAGCTGCCCATATTATTTCCTCACAGCAACACCCTGCACATAATTGCTCTGTGAGGTCCATTAATGCAGAGAGGAGCCCACGGTACGGGCTAAAGAGCAAGTTCCCTCCTTTGAAGCCAGCCTGGCTGCTGCTGGAGCAGAGTGCTGCAGATGCTGTGAGTCAGAGCAGGCTGGAGGAGGGAGCTGCCTCAGCCCATCAGCGTGAAGGGACCAGATTGGTGTGGTTTATTGTCAGCCTGCTCATTCCGTGGCATTTGGAGAGAGCCAGGTGGTTTCCAGGCGTGTGCAAGGCAGGCAGGCACATCCTCTGGTTTGCTTTTGAGGTGCTTTTGTGAAGTGAGTTTGAGTCCAGGGGACAGCTGAGCCTGCCGTGGGGTGGCTGATGGATGGTGTGGTGTTCCCAGGGACAGCTGTGCCTGCAGGAGCCTCCTCTCCCTGGGGCACCTCCACCCTGGGCACTGCCCTGCTGCTCTGGGTGCCTCTGGCTGCCTGCTTTTCCAGGGGGGATGCAGTCTGAGTTCCCATATTCCTCCTCTTCCTCCCTGGGGGATTTCAGTGCTGGGCAGGGAGGAGAAGGCTGATCCCTGCATGCCCAACAGGCACATCCCAAATGCTTCAAGTGTCAAGAGCTGGAAGAAAGTCACACACAGCCAAATTCCAGGGGTTCAGCTCATTTCCCTGAACTTACTCCAGACATGGCTGCAAAGTGGGTTTTTTCCAGTATTCCCTGGCAAATTTTAGAAACAGTTTTAAAACCATTTGATGACTTCCATGGGGCAGCATGGAGTGCATCCTTCCAGCATTGTTCACTTCTTGCTGTGCTGGGTTGGATGAGAGAGGGAAACATTTCTGGGCTAGTTCTTTCCCAAATTGGTTGATGTTAAACATATTACTGCAAAAGCACAGCTGCTGCCCCTTAGTCATGGGTTACAGTCTTTTCTTAGCCAAGTTTTAACAGTTTATTTTCTGTTTCCCATATACAGCCAGTTGAAAACTAAATAAAATACCTCTCTTTTTTTTTCTTTTTGCAATATGTCTCTATAGTTAGTACAAAGTGACAGATGATTGATGATTTCTTTAGTTGCAAATATTGTAATTCTCTTGTTCTCCTGTTTTCTACAAGCACTGACTGATATTCCAGAAGGACAGATAAGCATGTTGAATTCCTGCTGCCACTTTGTCAATAGAAGCATTTTCAAAAACCAGTCTGCATAACTTTTGATGGCTTTTTGTTTATATGCTTGCTAGCAAGAACTCACGTGCTCTGGGAATTATTTTCTAAAATATTTAACCCCTAGATTTCCACATTCATTGGCTCTCATGTTCCCCACACCTGCTCTGAGCAGATTTCAGTGTGGTGATTAAAATTCCTTTATAATTAGGATCATTCCTATAATATTCTTGTGCTGGAGCATGTGGAGGAGGGATAACAGGTGAAAACAATTATTTCAGCCCTTGATAGCAGCCAAAATGCAAAGATGTCTTCAAGGTTAATGATGTCCTCTACAGTCCCCACTGCCTTAAATGATTGGAAAATCTTCTGTCTCCACACTTTTAAAAAAACTGAATTATGTCAAAAGTCAGTGGGGAAAAATTAATACAACGTTCAGGAAGAAATAATTCCTGTCATCTATTCAGATTATTTTAAATTTTTATGCAATGAATCCCAATAAATATTGTTGAATATTTGCTTCAGTTTTAGAATGGTTTTGTTTGGGGAAAACAGTGAAATACAGTGGTTTCAACCACTGCTGTCTCATCACTGCTGTCATAACTCTTTTTTTTGCTATTTAAATCTGCATTCTGAGGGGGTTTAACACACCAGTCATCTTACTCATACTCTGCAGTGAACTTGGACTTTTCTTCATGCCTTTGTAGGTCTCCCAAGGAGGAGCTGCTTGCACGAACTTCAAGTTGCTCTGCGATAGTTTCTTTTGACAGATCTTTTTCCCCTGAGTAGCTCCCAGGAGCAAAATGTCAGTGTAATTTGGTCCTAGCCATGAATAACCAGTTGGCAACCTGTGAGGTCCCTCTTTCTGAACCTTAGGAGCTCTACGTGTCAAAACCCACTTGGCCTGAAATGCATTAAGATGTCAGGGACAATTATCCTGCTGTATTTCCTATTCATTAATCACAGCTCTGGCTTTCTGAAACCCCTACGCCAGCAATTACAAACAAGATTGTTGTGGGTTTAACCAGCATTCTGAGGAGTATGCAGCACAAAATACCACTTTTTTTCTTTTAACCTAAATCACTGTACTTTGAAGCAAAACAAGCCATCTATTTAGAGCATCTGTACACCAGTATCCAATCCTCAGCCTTGTAAATGGATGCCAAATTGCCTACAAAATGCTGGAAGAAAAAATGTGAAAGTCTTTAAAGTCATTTTTGAGTCACTTATGACTCCTTCAGTCTGACACTTATGTGAGAGGGCAATTTAGTCTTTTCCTGGCAAGGTCTATGCCCAAAACAATTCCTATCTAATGGCCCAAACCTGATTTTGGGAGCAGATCAGCTAATTACCTCCCTCAACCTGGAACTCGATTGGTGTTTTCCTGGAAATGATGTAACTTGGCCTTTTTAGCTCACACCATGGTGGTGGGTCTGGGAACAAGCAAGGGAGAGAAATCCAGGGGCAGGCTGAGGAGGAGCCTGCAGAGAACCCTCAGCAGCAGGGCAGGGGGAAGGCAGAGCTCCAACCAGCCCTGCTGCTGCTCAGGTGATGGCACTGTCACAGTCCTCCCATCCATCTCCCCTCGTGCACTGAGGCTGCTGATGGTGCCAGTGCAAACAATTGAGTACATCTCTTGTGCTTGTGTTCCTAAAGAAAAAAGCAGCAGAGCTCAGCCTGCCCCACACACCGCAGGAGGGCACAGCCCCTGTCCCAGCACCTCTGCAAGGAGCCCTGCAGGCAGCTCTGCACAGCAGCAGGGCTGCAGAGCCAGGATCAAAGCTGGGACACCAAGAAATCACCCCTCCCTCCATATTGCAGTGTGTCTCTAATTAATTTTTCACCTCTGACTCAAGGGGGTGACTAATTCTGCAGTGCCACCCTGATCAATGCACATGTGTATTTGCACGTTTTCATCACATGCAGAGAGGCAGAAGTGGACAAGAACAATAAGGAAATGAAAGAAATGTATTTCATTAGTAATCTAAAGTCTAGAAAAGCACCTTCTTTTCTCACAAATGAGCAAATTCTATAAATTGGCTTTTCTAATAGTGAGACTCCTTTAAGAAGCTGACCAGCCAGTTCCTTCCTGATCTGCTGGAAGTTCATTGTTCAGAATTTGATTTGTTTTTCCCTATAAACTGTGATATGAAAAGAAGTAGCCTATCCAGTGGTTACTGAGTCCATGAAAATTAGGGCTGGGTGAACAATTCTGTATAAAATTTAGAGCTGGTTGACAAATACTTTTTAATATGTTTTAGAAATTTTGTTCATTTCATCCATTATTCAGGATGCATTTTTCCATTACTCTGCTAGCTTTCTTGCAAGTGAGCTGTTGCTAATATGATCATTTGTCTCCCTGGGTGGTAAATGCAGGATATGGCCAGCTCAGAACCATGAGAAAAGCAAGTTCACACCACGGCTGGGGAATGGGTGCCCCTCCTGAGCTGGACATTTCCTTCCCGAGGGAAGATATTTTTCCTGAGCTGTCTGCCATATTCATACCTAGGCAGGATTCCTCTTTCTCATCTAGATGTGTCTTCCTCTGATGAGCTTCTCCTGTTTCTCTCCTGTACCAGGGATTCATGGACATTGACCTGACCAAATTCAGAGAGAGTGGAGCCAATGTCACTGGCTTCCAGTTGGTGAATTATACAGATACTGTTCCTGCCAGGATCATGCAACAGTGGAGGAACAATGATGCCAGGGAGCATCCACGTGTGGACTGGAAGAGGCCAAAGGCAAGTGATATAAAAAGCACATCTCATTTGGTTCCATCTGGCTCAGTTCAAGTTATGCTCACCTCTTTGTGATCACATATGGCTCTTTATCCTCACTTGAGAAACTCTCAGTATAATTATGAACATTATCTGTTCCATTTGCCTTAATATATCTGAATTTTACTAGGCTGCAGTTACTTCCTCCTAAGAAATACAACATTTAATGTATTCACTTGCTCTCCCAGTTTTCACCGCCTCCAAGCTAAGAGTTAAATATCTCATAATGTTCAGCATATAAAAAACAAAAAGCCTCTTTAAGTCCTTAACCTTTGACTTGTTTACAAGATATCCAGCGATAATAAAGTCTTTCCAGATGTTCTTTTTGAGAATTTCAAATCAGTGCATGCAACAGAGAGAAAAAGTATTTTAATTCCTGACACTGAAGGCCCTGAAGCTGTTGAGGGGTGAGTGGAGGGAGAGGTTGTTTTTTTCTGTTTAATATTTTAAAATGAATACATTTGTGACACTCTGCCATAGAAATGTTAGCTTTGGGATTAGTTTAAGAAAGTTGAAAACAACTAAATCAGTAGGCGATCACAGAAAAAAAGAGTTAACACCAATGGTTCTTACCATTGATGGTTAACACTAATGGTTCTTGCCAAGAGTTTTACACTGCTTTCTGTACAAATTTCTGCTTGAATAAACTCATGTTTTGGAGAATTTTTGCCAATAGAGAGGGAATTTTCTGGTCTCCATCTGTGACCAGAAAAAGTCCCTTGTTTCTTGATTTCATGTAGCTCACATTTACACAGTATAATGTGCTCCTCAAATGTTCAGGTCAATGCTTCTGATTAAACACAAATGCTTGGGTAACACGTGAAGGACTTTTAGTGCTGAGTCTTCTTCAGGGAGTGAAATCAGGAGCTTCTCCTTCACTTCCCAGCTGTGAAAGCCAAAACCAACTTTTAGGAGTCAACAGGGCAGTGGAGATTACAGGGAACAAGATGCTGTTGAGCTTCACAGACAGGAGGTGAGGACAGAGTGTTGCCTTTTTCTTAAGCTGGAAATGAAACTCGAGATATTTTTAGTAAGGAGGTAATATAAGAGTGGATTTTTATTTGAAGGCTTTCAGGGGTAGTTATGGAAAGATGTCCACAGGAGCCTATCCCCACAGGGATGCATAAATTTTTATAGGTTTTAGGGAATTAACATAATTGATAAACAACACCAATTAGGAGGACAAGTGGTGATGTAATTTCTTCTCAGCTCAAGCTTTGTTTTGGAGTCTTTCCCTTGGCATTAGCTGTGCTCTGTCCATAAAATGTATCTTGAAGAGTTTTTCTCAACCTCGGTTTCCAGGAAGAACCAAGACAGCACAGGGCCTTTGTACTTCTTGGGGCTTAGAGCTCTGGAATTCATTTTGGTTTTTTTCCTGGGGAAAGGCTGTGGAAAATTACCAGGAAAATTAGCCACTCACATTATAGGCTGCAGAACTATACGTGCTAAGAATACAGGGAACATATAAAAGCTAAAAGAAAAGGTAAAAACCAAACAACAACAGAGCAAGCCACCTGGAAGGTTACCCCGAGTGCCATTCCTGTTCCCAGTACACGTCGGCGCTCACCTACGACGGGGTGCGGGTGATGGCCGAGGCCTTCCAGAACCTTCGGCGGCAGCGCATCGACATCTCCCGCCGCGGCAACGCCGGCGACTGCCTCGCCAACCCCGCCGTGCCCTGGGGACAGGGCATCGACATCCAGAGAGCCCTGCAGCAGGTTGGCAACCAGCCTGGGGGCGGCGTGTGGGTGCTGGGGGCACGCTGGGCACAGCCCGAGCTGGGGGAGGACGGGCGGGCAGCAGCAGAAGCACCGGCACAAATCCCTTGGGATGGGGAGGAGCTGATGACACAAATCCCTTGGGATGAGGAGGAGCTGATCCTTCTGGAGCAGAGAGGTCTGAGAAGCTCAGGGGTGCCTCCAGCAAACTGCTTTTCCTGGCACCATCTGATGTGTCCTTGCCTGTTCTGATTTTGGTTGTTGTGCTAAAGCCGAAATATTATCCTGTAAAATCAAGGGTCCCTGTCTTTATGTTCCCCTCCCTAAGACACAGACCTGCTCAAACCATATTTTCTGCAGATTATTTGACTCTCTGTGAACTCAGCTTCGGCTCCAGCCTGCTAATGAATGCATGTGAATTTTGCCTTATGTGTTGGCTGTCACCAAAATGTTCTCAAAGTGCAGATTATAGCTTGTTTCATACTGTGAGGGCTCATAAAAGTCTTAAGAGCAGCCATTTAGATAGTTTATTCCTCAAATCTGATAGTCTTGCTTTTTTTCCTCCTGCATAAAATTTAGATTTTTGAATAAACAAAAATACAATGTGAAACTTACAGCAAGAGAGAAAAATAATTCACTCTTATCAAAGACTTACCAAGGTAGAATATTTTAAAATTTCATTAAATTTCAAGACTGACATTTACTTCTAGCACTTTTCTTTCTTTTCCTGACAGAAGTAGATGGATTCCTTGCAAATACTGCTAGTACAGTGTTATCCAAATATATCTTATCCCATCTTCTTTCCCTAACTGTGAAGAAGGCAAAAAAACCCAAACATTTATGTGGTTCATTTGTATAATATGTAAAGTTCCTCAAGTATTTTGTTTTGATTGGGTTTTGGCTTACTTGTAAACAACAATTCCTTTAAAACCAAATCTTGCATCTGATTTGATTTTCTTGCTTGGATTCAATTTGTTCCCAAGCCTGTCACTGACTTTCTGCATGACCTTGGGCAAATCACTGTCACAGCTTCTCCAAGCCCTTATAATAAAATCAGCCTCCATGATGCATTAGGGAGATAGGTTACCTAATAAACATGAAATACTTGGAAGTCTTCTGATGAGCAATAGCCTGCTCCAGCATTTTTCTTTATTGAATTTATGAGAATAAGATATCAAAATTAGACAGCTAGAAAATACAATTTTTTGTGTGTGTCTGTTGGAAAATATCCTCTGAAGTTTCCTTATATCTTCATTAAAACAATTTCAAAAGTCTTAATTTTTCAGCTAGAGTGACTTTGGGTGAAGAACACAAAGACCCATTTGCAAAAGTTGCTTCTTTACAGATGAAAAATAATAATTTTAAAAATGTTTGACCAGCTCAGTTGTGATGATCAAAATAACAGACTGAAACAGGCAGGGCAAGAAGCCTCCCAGCAAAAAATATAAGTATGAATTTGATAATCTTCCAGTATTTAGTAATGTAGCAAGAAAGAGGCAGATGGAAATAGAAGAACTTATGATAAAATTGAAGGTTTGAGTTATCCTTTCTGTAAAGACTCACAATTAAGGCAATTAAGGTTCATGCCTAAAATTTTATAAACTTTTTAAAAGCAAAAGGTTTCTCTACTTGCTTCTACTCAAATGTCTGGAATAAGCTCCCAAATTGCCTTATTCCTGTTTAGTGTAGGAAAGAACCACAGAATCATAAAAACATTGAGTTTGGATGATCTAAGATCATCGAGACCAAACATTATCCCAGCATTTCCAAGTTCACTAAACCATGTCCCCAGCACTGCCACATCCACACATCTTTTAAATCCCTCCAGAAATGGTGACTCCACCACTCATCTCCCTGGACAGCCCATCCAGTGCTTAACAACCCTTCTGGAGAAGAAATTTTTCTAATGTCCAATCTCAACCTCCCCTGACACAACTTGGGGCCATTTCCACCTGTCTGGGGGAATAGACTGACCCCCACCTCACTTCAACCTCCTAACAGGGATTCATGGATGGCAGGAACAAAGATTAAAAGAAATATGAAGCATTCTTCATATTTTCAAAAACAGAAATCTGGCATGTTCAAGGAGAATGTATATTTTTATTAAAGATAATTACCTTTTTTCTTTTTTTTTTTTTTTTTTTGCAGGAAAAGGCCCACAAAATATTACTTCAAACCACTACACTAAGGCTTTGATTTTATTTTGAAAAGGCTATGATAATTTTAAACAAATTATTTTTTTATCATTATGTGGTCAGCATATCTAACAAGCAGAAAACTGGTCCCTAACTGCTGACTAGCCCTATAAAACAGAAGGCCACAACAGCATCCTTCTGCTCCAGATGTCCCAGCAAAGAGCCAAATGCCCATCCATGTCTTACACACAAATGTGCTTAAATGTCTCCAGCTGACTTGAGTAGTGCTTAGCTCTGTTGAAGTCAGTCCTCACTGTACTTTGCACTGCATTTTTGCATTTTGCAGTGCATTATTTTCATTTTGCATTGCCTTTTTGTATTTTGCATTTGCCTTAACAGGATGGTGAAAGGCAGAAAAGTTGTGCTGCCTCCTGCAGCACAGATAGCAGAGATCCCTTTTGCCATTTCAGTGCCACATAGATATCACAGAATTAAGATTTCATTCACTCAGGTAGAAGAAATTGATGCTGTAAACATGCCTTTTAGTGCATACAAAGCTACAAATCACAAGCACCTGTGACCTGAGCTTCAGAATCGGTCAGAACCTGAAAGGAAAACCAAAGGAGACATGAAAAAAAGCAGGCTTGGGAGTGCTTGAGACAATGGTGCTTTTTCAGCACATCTATTTTTTATGAGCATGTTGTGTCTTGTGCAAAGGGAAAAGCATGTTTGTCCAAATGTCACCAGGAATATCTCTTGGTTTGAAAGAGCTTCAGAAAATGCCGGCAGATGTTCATTTTCATGACAAGCCTTTGTTGTAACAGTGGGAAAACAAACACGGCTTAACCAGATTAACAACAGATTTCCTCTGTAATGATGCAGCCTCATTTCTTCACCATGGGTCTTTATTCTCAGGATCTCAGGGTATTTAAAAAGGCTGATAAATACCTGTCCCCATTTTGCATGTGGGAAGACTTCAATTGCAGGGACAAGAGGTTTGTCCAAATCAAGTGGAAAGGCAGAGAAAGAGCACTTCTCTGGGTGGTCTCCATAGAAACCCAAATCTGCACTCTTTTTCCCATTTTCCTGGTCCCCACTGCCTGGCTCCCACAGAGGGTGTGATACCAGTCAGGAGCCCTTCTCCGTTTCAGGCTGGGCACTTTTGCAGCAGGGGAAGTTCAGGATGTGGGATGTGATGTGAGCATCACTTCAGCTGTTATCAGCAGAGATTTACGGTTCAGAGTTTCCTATGCAAATGTCAATACTAAATTGTTAGATTTTATTGATCTCGTGCAGAGGTAATTAAATTTGCTTGATAACTTATAGACTCCTCTCTATCAAAAAATAATGGCTGGGAGCTGTGGCCATGGTTTCATATTTCCTCCTGATTTACAGTTCCTGATTTGAGCTGACAAATTCTTTACCAAATCCCTACTCCAGGTCAGATTTAGAAAATACAAAACGTCACAAACTCAAGCAGTTCAGAGCTGATTTATCTCACTGTCACGTCCCAAGAGGTGATGGGCTCACATTTCTGACCTAGCTCTTAGGCTGTGCTATGTTTTAAACCACTGAGTTTTAAGAGAAAGGGTTTTTAAATGAAAGAGTGAGCTAAGAAGATGGCTGTGCCCATGGCCAGGCATGCTGTAGAGCGCGAGCCTTAGTGGCAAACCAGTTTCAGGCATATGTGCTGCCTCCCCTGCATGGAATTGAGAGTAATGACTGCACTCAGCACCCTTCTTCCCCTCCCCTCTCACTGCTGCTGAATCACCACTGCATGAGAAGATGACCAATTTGCTGTCTTCATTGGTATTTATGTATTTAAGGTCCGTTTTGAAGGATTGTCTGGCAACGTTCAGTTTAACGAGAAAGGACGCAGGACCAACTACACCCTCCACGTGATTGAGATGAAACACGATGGGATCAGGAAGGTAAAGCAGGGAGTGACCCAGCATCCCGTGTCAGGTTCCAGCCCATGTTTGAGTGGCAGTGTGGCTGGGTCTCGACAGGCATCCCTGTTCATGAAAGTTTGTTTGTGGAGGCACAAGAAGGGCATTCCCAGCTCTAGGCATGAGCAAAGCCAAGCACCAGGGAGTACTCGTGGTGTGTTGCTAAAAAAATACAGCATTTGGAAGGTGTTATCAAGAGAAACAAGGGCATCTCAGGTGTGGCAAAAATTTTCCAGGATGCTAAAACTTGGCCAGCTCACCTTTGCCATTGGCACAGTGCGTTGGTGCAGGCCCAGCTCTAGGTCTGGCTTTGCCCTTCCACTTTTTCAAGGATAAACAAAGGCAGAGCCAGGCAGAAGCTGTTTGCCCCAACCATTGTAAGTGAACTCTTCATGTTGACCTAATTCTGCTCTCCTTGAAGTGACAAAAGCTTTAGCACTAGCCACGTCCCAATAGCTACACAGACCTTTGTGCTCTTCTGAAGTCTTGATCCCTTTCTGTATCCCAGGCTCTTTGAAAAATCTGGCCTTGTTCAGAGATGCCAAGCCCTTGAAACATGAATCCCTTTGAAAATCTGACTTTAGGTGCTTATGTCCCACTTTAGATACCATGTATTTGAACAACAGAGAATAGCTCAGTTATTCCTTGATAAAGGAGAGATACTACGTATTTTGGAAAGGGGCATTCTCTGCATCTCCTCAGGTCCCTGAAAGATAAAAACTTGTTTGAAACTAAGAAAAATGTAAATAATGAAAGTTCCATATTTACAGTCTCTATTTCAAATTTGTGCTTACATATGAGAGCAGCAGGTGTGAGATCAAAGCCCCCCACAGTCAAGTGAATAAAGGAAAATTTTCTTTGACAAATAAAATAAATGTCATTTTGAAGATGTACAAAGCAGTCGTCCTCCACTGCAAAATATTCATAAGAGGACAAAGGCAGCATCATGCCCAGTTTGGGCCTCTGAACTTCAATGAGTTGGCAGTCTGGAGAGTCTAGAGGAGATGAAATTGAGTGTCTGAATGTCATGATTTTTCTATGTATTTACCATCAGAAATAATATTTGTTTGGAAGACATGTGCATCATTACCATGATGCACATTGTAATTTAGGTCCACCAGGTGAGAAGTGCAAAGCAAACATCCATGTCTCCACTTTTGTTGCCCTAGGGCAGAGCTTTGAAAGCCTTTTCCACACTTTCCATTCTTTTTGTCTGTGCAATAAAGAGTGATTAGAAGCCTGTAGAGATTTTTTTCTCCTCAGCTGTCATGATCTCTAGTCTGCCATCAGCAGGTTCCTGGTCATGCCCTGGTTAATACCTTTTCCCATTTATGATAAGAAATTCCTTTCATATGAGCAGAGTTCAGGCAGCTTCATACTTACATGAGGTGATGGAAAACCTCTTATAAAATCAAGCCCTCCAACAGGATAACCTCAACCATGATCTTCCTAGAGATATTTGCTGGCACTCTGCTTTACCTGCAAGGAATGATAGAGCTGCCCAAATCCCTAATTATTATTAAATTGGATTTAACCTTAGAGTTCTTCCCTATACAAGTGCTCAGTTTATTCATAACCCCAAACTTTTTGACACTGGTGCAGGAATGGGGGGGAAGTTCTAAATCGATTTTTTGTCCTATTGTCTCAAGATGTCCCAAGAGTCAGTCAGTCACTCCTATATTCATGCAGGCTTTCAGCTGTAGGATAATTTTTCATCACCCTCTAGCACCTGCACCTGCAGCAGGCAAGCTCACCATTAGAATAATTTTGGAAGTCACACAGGGAATGTGTGAACTTTCTTCGTAGGAATGGCAATAATCACCAGTCCAGTGTGATAAATGTTTTTGCATGCACACAAGCACTGTGCTACTGTAGCACATCATGCACATTATTATTTTCAGGCTGGAGGCACAGTGGGAGGGGGAATTTCCCTGTCCCCCTAATCAAGGACATGAAAAATCAGGAGAGATTTCTGGGTGGGTATGAACATGCAGAGAAGGCTGATCTGGCTTGGATGACCCTGTTACTGTACCTTGGTTAATATTCCAAAGACATTAATGCTGGTTTTGTATTGGGCAGATTGGTTATTGGAATGAAGATGAGAAGCTGGTCCCAATAGCCGTAGATACTCAAAGTGGCAATGAGTCTATGAGCCTGCAGAACAGGACCTACATAGTCACAACTATCCTGGTGAGTGCCATGACTTCCATGCCAGCTGTCCCTCTCCCCCATCTCCCTGATGTGCAGGCTCCCTCTTCCCACTCATGAGCCCCTCTTTGTATTATATCATTTTTATAATAGCAATAATAATAATAATAACAATAATAGCACTTACTGTTTCCTGCCAGCTCCATAAAGGTATCTGCAAATTGCTGTGGCTAATTAAGTAGGTATTAAAGAGCTCTCATTCTTAAGGGTAGAAAATACAAAAGATTATGACAAGATAGTAGAGGCATCAACACAGGCAAATCAGGAACATTGTACCTGTGGTTTGTATTTATTCCACAGAATGGGGGCTGCAGTTTTGGGAAGGATAAGCTGTTTTGTTCTGAGAGGCTGAATCATTGCTTTAAAAGGAAGTCTCCACTGTAATCATGAAGGAATAATAGGTAGCCCACAATGTGGTGTATAATGTATTGTGTCATTGTATACACTTCCCCTGCAGAAACATGAAATATTACTAATTTGTTTGCTGATTGCTTACTGGGAGTCTGCAGAGAAGGCACAATACCCAAACTGAGTTAAACACTTTAAGGCTCTCTCCTGTCCAGCAGATTTGATTCTCCCTGTGCCCACACAGGCAGGCATGCCTTTAAAAATTCACAGCTCAGATACATTAAATACCCCTTGCAGAGCTACACTGAAAGGTTTGTTGCCCAAATCCCACCAGCTACTCCATTCCCCTCAGGTCCATCACTGCAGGAGCTGCGCACAGATTCTGCATGAATAAAAAGTATATGCCGCAATTAAAAAAAAAATCAGACTTTGTACCTTCTAGAATAAACCCGCGGTGTGTTGGCTGTGTCCCTTGGCACAGGAACACAAAGCTAGAGCTTTGCAGGGCGACCAGAAGCTGGTGTGCACCTCTGGGACGAGGAGCGGGGCTCAATGCTGCTCTTCTGTGTGCCAGGAGGACCCGTATGTGATGCTCAAGAAGAACGCCAACCAGTTTGAGGGCAACGAGAGGTACGAGGGCTACTGCGTGGAGCTGGCTGCCGAGATTGCCAAGCACGTGGGCTACCACTACCGGCTGGAGATCGTGCGCGACGGCAAGTACGGAGCGCGGGACCCCGACACCAAAACCTGGAACGGCATGGTGGGAGAACTCGTCTACGGGGTGAGTCTCCAACCTCAACGTTTAGCTCTTGGTAGCTGGGATCACATTCAAGCGTCAAAGTTAGAAGGAGTCCTGCCCTCTCTCAGCCTGAGCTCTCCAGGGGACTGCAGCTCAAACAATCAGCCCGAGTAAAATGTTTTAATTTAGGGAGAGACAGCACATTCTGTGCCTATGGAAATGTCAAAACGTTTCCTTTCAACAGTTCCAAGATTCTTTTTCTTTACATTTTTAGAAGAGCAAGTATCGAAAGGTCATACTTTCCCATGGGTAGAATCTCCAAATTTTACTCAATTTTATATTTGCATGGTAATGCCAGGATGAAAGAAGAAAAAGATTTCAAACACTCAGCGCATGAATGGTGAATAGAAGGATGAGATTACTTTCTGTCCAGCCACTCATTTCCATCATCAGGGACACCTGCACCTTACACTTCTAAACCTGGTTTGGTGTGATAGTTCATGCTCTTGTGATGTTTAGGTCATCTCTCAGACAGAGGAGTCCAATTTCCCTTTCCCTACATGGGAAATCATGCAGGAAACATCAGTCTCCAAGTCCATGTGAGACTGTGTTGGAGTGGGGATGATCTGTCTCCTGATGCTAGCTCCACTGTAAATGCTGCCAGCCATTTCAGTGCATCTCCCTCTCAATTTTCAAGATGGACTGCAAAATTAGTGGAGAGTGCATATCAGTGTTGCTGGAACATTTTTCCTCTTCTCCTGCATCAGTTATGCAATCAAAAGACAGTTCCTGATGGAAGTAAACATCCTGACATCCCTTTTCAGGAGATTGGCCTTTCCTTGCCTCTTTTGATGTCTGGATGATAAAGCTCTTTTAGAGAAAATCATCTTCATCATATTGTGACATCAGTGGATAAATCAGATGAGAAGAGCTGGGTGGCTGCAAAAAGAAAGTGCTGTGATTTCAAAACAGATCTGGTAATCAGTAGTGATAAAATGGAAATAATCCACCAATATTATGGCTTCTCCTTTTTAACCTTCTTCTTGGAATTGGTATTGTCTGATTTCTTCTATAGTTAAACAGAGATCAAACGATCATACGCTGCAGTTAGTAGATACATTTTATTCCCAGTCTGAAAATCTCTTTTCTGTCTCCTTTTTCAGAGGGCAGATGTGGCTGTGGCACCATTAACCATCACCCTGGTTCGAGAAGAAGTTATAGACTTTTCCAAACCATTCATGAGTTTAGGTATATCAATAATGATAAAAAAACCTCAAAAGTCCAAACCAGGAGTTTTTTCCTTTCTGGATCCTTTGGCCTACGAGATATGGATGTGCATTGTTTTTGCCTACATTGGAGTGAGCGTTGTCCTCTTCCTGGTGAGTCGCTTCAGCCCTTACGAGTGGCACACTGAGGAATATGAGGAAGGACGGGACCAGCCAGCCAACGACCAGACAAATGAGTTTGGGATATTCAACAGCCTCTGGTTCTCCCTAGGAGCTTTCATGCAGCAAGGATGTGATATTTCTCCAAGGTGGGTTGCCTTCCCTAATGAACCTTCTTCCAGTTTGTGTGGTTTAATATTTCTGTGCGCTTTGAAGCTGAACAGGTTCTACTTTGACCTCCCTTCCTGAACCAAAGTGTAGTTTTGTGAATCACTTACAAACTCAGAAAGGATCCAAAGGTCCACAAGTCTCACGGCGGTGACCTTGGTATTTCAAACTTGACACCTTGAAAATACCATTTGAATTTTTCTTGGGGAGTTCTTTTGAGGGAATTTACAGAAGATAACAAGCTTTTCTAAAGCCACCCAATTGCAATCAAATTTTTTGTCAGTCATTTATTCTGTTGCTAGTAAAAAATAAGATGATTCTAGCATTATAAGGAAGATAAAAACTTCCAACAAGGCAGGGAGAAATAATACAGGAGGTGCCCATTGAAAGGTTATATGGTCTGTGCCAAACATTATGGAGCACAATGAGTGGCTTAATTGTTACTGGCCTTTAAAAAGGTTAGAGAAAGACCGGGTTTCATCTTGCTTCCCATTTCAGCCAATAGTTCTGCTGCCTGAAAGTTCAGTAGGACCCAACATCCAAAGTGTTCCTAAAGGGACTTTTTGGTGAATGACTCTTGTGATTTACTTAGATAATTTTTCCTTCCTTTTGGAGGCTTTGTCTCCCTTCTCTTCAAAGGAAGTTTAATGCAGAAATACCCATCTATGGATGAAGACAGTGGGCTGAGGTTGATTTCCAGCCTGCTGTGGTGGCATCAAAGCTCAGGGGATGAGAAGGAGGCACAGCTCCATCGACAAAGGGAGATAACTTCGTGCAGCTCAGCACAGCTCCCCTGGGATGGCAGGGAAGACTGAGCACCAGCTTTTTGCCTATCAGATGCCAATTTATCCAAATGTTAATGAGCTTGTGATAGCAGGGAAATAACAGCCTTCAGGGCACTTTGATAGTGACAGCCTTTATGAATCTGTTTTATTATCTGATCATTGATTAGTAGGAGACCAGACAGAGAATCCAGAAAGTCTTCTCAGCAGAGGGAATTTCAACTTTATTGCTGTCTTGTAACCAGCCCCATGGATTAGGATCAGGTTATTGTGATTTTTATTCTCATTGTTGTTTTTGTTATTATTTTTATTTAGGAAATAAAATGTCTTCCTTTGAGGTCATTTCAATAGGTGGTTTCTGATCCAAGGAGGAGCAGGGAAAGGTGAAAAGCTGAGGCTTTGAGGAATAGCAAATTTGGTAACATCTTTAATAAAAAGTGTCAGGGAAAGATCAGTGGGTTTCATCCAGCTAACAAGATTTGCCCTAGCTAAACAACATGCTTTGAATCACCATTTCAAAGTGTGGTTTTATTTTGCTTTGAAATAGGAAATTAGAATTATTCCATCATTGTTATTTTAATGTTGGTTGATTTAATCATCCTGATAATGAAAATTACAATTTCATTGAAACCAATATTTTCCCGTGGAACACAAGAGCAGTTTCTGACTGCTACAACTATTGGCAAGATGATAAAACCTGAAAAATTAAATACAGGAATTATTATAACTCCCAGTACTCTGAGTACTGCTCCTTGAGATGGTTGTAAGCAGAGAGGGATATTTCTGTGTGATGTGAAAGCCAGGAGGAAGCAGAAGAGTGAGAATTTCTGTAGGATGTTGTTGTGCAGAAAGGCTCTGAGCCTGCTCCCTGTTTCACATGTATTTTTCACACGAACCCAGTGCAGGATTTCTGTGACACATCCTTAGAAATGAGCACTTGGTAGAATGACACTGTGGGCAGGTGGGGATATCTGCTCTATTCTAATATATTTCCTATGTGCTTGCTTCTAAACTTATCTCTACTATCTCTCAGCATCTCCCCAGTAATGCATTACCCAACATAAATAGCTTCTGTTATACATCTGTTCTGTCATTCTCTCCCCAGCAGAAAGGAGCAAGTGCAGGGGTGTATTTTGTTTTTGTAGAGGTTTTTGGGTTGTTTATTTCAGTTTTGTTTTGGAGAGGACCAGGGGAAATTTATCTGAAGGTTTGTTTGTTATTTTTTCCAGATCGTGCTTGTTTTACGTGCATATGCCACTATGTATTTATCATTAAAAAAAAAGGAGTAAGATCAAAACCATAGACACATCACTCAGCACAGCAGGTGGTGAGGTTTGCAGCAATAACTTGCTCTTGTAAATGTGCATTCCTCAGTCTCAGACCAGTCCCCAGGGAACTTCAATGCCCCAAAGAGACAAAAATTTGCTTTTGAAGGAAAGTGTTGCCCTTTTTAAGGACAATCTTACTAGGCAGATCTTTAAAAAGGTTTTTAAGTACACTGAAGACAATCTACCAAGGACTTTAAAGACACACTGTGAATTTGGTGACCTGTGGATGGCCAAGAGAGAGCAGAGCTGTGGGTTACCTGCTCAGAGCCTCTTTGCAGGTCAGCTGGCATCCTGGAAGCTCTGAATCCTTCATGTCTAGGCATCAGCTGGGTGAACGTGACAAAGGACAGGGAGCAACCAGTCATGGAGAGTCCCAGCTGGAGCTGGTGGCAGTCTGTGCTGTGCCTTTGGATGCTGAAACATGAGCATGAGCAAGGAATCCATCCAGGAATGGATTGATTGGCAATGTGTGGCTTCAAACCAAGGGGCTGTGAGCTCCTGGACATTTCCCACTGGAGTGTGTGTCCACCATCACTGACCAGTGGCCCCACTGGGTGTGGAACAGTCCCTACCACGAGGACTAGTTTGTCCTGGTTGAAGTGAGACAGCCCCTGTTGTTGCCCTCAAAGCTGTCAAAGCAGGGCTGGTACCCAGCAGGGCCAGGGAGAAGCAGCAGCTCGGAGCTGCGCACAGCTCCACGGGGACGGGCAGGAATCAGTGACTCTGAAACGAGCCATAAACCATTAGGCTTTGCTAAGTGCCACCTTAGCTTCAGAAAACGGTCATGAAATTGCAAAAGCACTCATTAAAGGTGAAATACAGACCCAGAAAAGAGCTTCTCAGAGCAGGCTTCAGAGGTGATAAATAACCCACAGCCAATAGCGAGAGCCTGTGGAAAGAAAAATGTGAAGTAAATATGACTCACATTGTACCATTTTCAGAGCTGTAATTTGATAAATTGTCTTCAGAGCTTAAAATAACCGCGGTGTGTAGCAGCTGTGGGGGGTAGGACCTTGCTAAAGTCCAGCACATTGCTGCCATTTCTCACTCAGGATGGACCTGAGGCCTTTGAAAAGGAGACTGGGGGGATGATTGGGCTTCCCAACCTCCTCTGCAGCAAAGCAAGGCATCAGAATTTTTCATCTTCTCCATCATTTTCTGCAAAATAAATAATTTGACTGTTGTGAGAAGGATGGAAAAACAGGGCGCAAAATAGCATCTCTTGTCAGCTTCCTATCTTGATCTTCTATTTTTTGTTATCACAAAATATGTTGCTTCATATGGTTTGAGCCCAAAAGCGACTTCTTGTATATTGGAGACTATTAAATTTAATCCAGTTATTCTTCCTGTGACTCAGAAAATTTATGTTTTACTATAATGAAATACATTTGGTTAAAACAGATCTTTCAGAAAGGCATTTATTCTTCACTTGAAAATACCATGAGATAGAATAGACAGTTACTCTCAGCTGAGTTGACTGTAGGAATCTTGTCCCATCTCAGGTTTGGCAGGTGGATAAATATCACACAATATCACCTGGTGAATGCAGACATCATTTGTGCCTTGCCAGAGGAAAATTAAATAAAGACCTCCAAAAATTAGCCCAACTTCTTGGAGCCTCTCTTTATTGTTGAAACAACAAGGATACATATTCTGAATTCAGATCAAAATCTACTGTGAGTAAAAGGGAAATGCATTCTCATATCATGGCACACTAGGGTATCTTGCCACAATACCTGGACAGCACAGCTTGAAATCACTCATTATAATGAGATGTGAAATGGTGGATGAAGATTTCATCCCATCTGTACCTGAGACAGCCTGGACAGGGGAAGTTTTGGGAGCATCTGCAGGGCTGCCTGAGCAGGGAGAACCTCTGTGCAAGGAGGGAGCACAGCTGGGAAATGCTGGGGTCACACCAGAGTGCCCTAAAGACTGTGGGGTTCAGTGTGCAAGGAGACATGGCACGAGGTACAATCCACCCTCCAGCTGGCTTGGGATAAAGAGCTAACGGGGTCTTCACTGCCTGCAGAGGCCAGAGGCAGAGGCTTTGCAGGGTGCAGTGCTTTGTGCCAAGCAGAGACCAGGGCTGGGGGTGCTGAGCAGGGAGCTTTGGTGGCAGAGATGATGAATGGCTGCACTCCCAGGCAGGAAAGAGAGAGATAGATGCTTGCTGCTCTCCAGTCAATAGATACAATCTATTATTTATAGGCATCTTGTGGATGTTGTTATTTGTTTTTTGTGACATGGAAGCAGTGCTCTGGCTGATCTGTACTGTGTGCTCGTGTTCAGTGCTCCTCCTCAGGCTCGCTGCTGCACTCCATCAGGGTGGTGCGTCTGGGGAACAGCAAACCAGGTATTTATCATGTACCTGTAATTAATGCTGAGCATTTTCCTCTGCTCTTTTTCCTGTTTATTTGCATTTCTTTTTAGCCCAACTGAAAAAAGGCACAGGAGACTTCAGATTTTGAAAGACAGCAGCATTTTAAATTTCATCAAGATCTTCCCAATACTGAAAGAGCTTAGCCAGTTTTAGGGCAAAATCTAAATCAGAAATTGATTAGAACAAAAAAGAAAAAAGTTGTGGGGGTTTTTGTTTGGATTTTAGGTTGGGGTTTTTTGGGAGGGGGGGGGTTGGGAGTTGTTTTTTTTTAGTGAGAGGTTTGATTTGGATTTTTTCAAGGAAATTATTTCTGTTCCATCCTTTGTAAACTTACATTTGCAGGGTACTTACTTATTTTGCTAAAAATTTAGCATTAGAGAAATTAGAACCAGCTGCATTTAGCAATCAAAAGGAATTTAATTCCTTCCTGAAAAGAAGGCTGAGCAGGGGTATTTATCTGATGACTCTTCTGGATTTCAGTAAGAGTC